TATCCTGCGATTCAAAAATCGGAAGTAAGCCTGGAGCCCAAGGGGCTCAAAAGATAATTTTATTGGTCATAGTTACGGTGCCGTAGGTATCAAAATCCATCCCAACAGTGGCCAGTGGGTTAAACGAAGAAGACAGCACGAATTATGTGGTCTATCAGAAGTGAAGCACCAGTGCTGAGCAACGAAATCTTTCTATTAGACAGCTCTCGACGATGCGAACAGAAAAAAAACAAATGTTGTCAAAAAAATGCGAGTAGAACAAAAGCTACAATGTTCTAATTTAGCTATCAATCTAAAGAGAATAGTGATTTCTGAAGAAGCCAAAACCGTTGTAAAGTCAACTGTTGCGATTAAATAAGTGCTTTAATATTGACCACACGTTTGCTTATCAAGGAAAGACTTAATCATGATAACTGAAAATAAAAAATGATTCACTAAAATACAGCTAGAATAAAAGCAACACTTCCTGAAAGAAAACAGTCTTTTGGTGCACTGATCTCCAATTACGTAAGAGAAGATGAAGTAATGTTATCAGATCCGCAGTTATTCGAAAAGACAAAATCAGCGAAGAACTTGAATGGAATATAAAATATTTGCCAAATCAATCTAGCAACATGAGCCTTTTTCATACTCAAAATTCTAATATTTTTATTGCTTTTCTTCGCAGTGTTATGATGTTTGATAGATACCTGAAAGAATTGAGTGGTGAGCAAAAATACGACCTCAGACGGGAGTCGTCCCCGGCATGGATGGAACGCGGATACGACTCCCGTCTGAGGTCGTATTTTTTGCTCACCACTCAATTCCCTTTTTCGTACCTTAATCATGCTTTTCACTTTGAGTTTGTACTGACCTGACAACCACACTGATGAACTGTGTCCGACCAATGAGAGATGCGCATGTGCGATGAGGAATAGTGCCCATCCGTAGCTCCAATGTCTCGGATGGCAGTGTTTGAACGCCACAAACTGATAATGTGTGGTGTAGATTAGGTTCGAAAACAAGACCACCGTGTCACAGCATGCCATCGCCGTAAGAATCATATTCACTGGGGTGCGCATCTGTCGCCTTAAAAGTCCTCTTTTAGTTTTAAGACTTTCCAAAAAAATTTAGTGAAATGGCATTGAATTCTTTGCTTACAAAAGTACTCCTATAGCGCTGTGGGTGTCGTTCCTAGAGTCTGCTCTAACTGATTTGATTATTCAAGCAGTTACGTAATTTAATTCCTAAGCACTCTTCTCATGGTTGTAGAGGAAGTACATGAGGCCTGCTGAACTTTTTATCGTTGGAGCTGCTGAGGTGGGTACTGAGTCACTAAGAGTTACCGTAGATAGAGGGAATGGCAAACTGTTCAATCGCAACAACGATCTCCGTGGCTTGAGGCTCAAAAAAAGTAAAATTACAGAGTGACATTATTTCCCAATCTTCGATACTTCGGGGCCAGATTTCTCTTTGATGAAGAAATACAGCAAAAAGCAAAAAGTAGTACATCTCGACACCATATTTGAACCTTTTAAAACAATAGTGATGTGTAAATTAAAGGGATCTTTCACCCGAAAACCTAAAATTTTTTCCATCCAGAATGAAACAATGAAGTATGAAATTATTGTTATTTTACTATCTAACCATTCGGATGTTCTTTTTCATGCCATTTCGTGATCAGTTGATTTATTTCAAATTAACAGCAAAACATTAAGCGTATGGTCTTGACATAAAGACATTTCAACTGGTTTTTTCGATAATAATCTTTACGACGGAATATCGAGCTCGTTTCATTGGATTTATTCGTACACAAAAGTGCCATCAACCTTTTGACGGACAACGGATCACAGCCTGACTGATCATCTTATCGAAATCATTATTTACTTAGAAGTCAGTTATCAGTAAAAACGCGGGTACCAATTCCCATTTTCTTCTTCTAATTCTTTTTGTTTTTTCTCCTGTTCGGATCACAAAATGAGTTTAAGGCTTGAATATTGGCTTGAAACGCTAAAAACGATGGTTTCAGCAAGGTAAAATTGGAGGGCCGTCTGTATCAAAATTTGTGACTGCGGTCGCCAACAAGATAAATAATAACATTAAGAACTATTAGGGAACTTTGTTTCTTTTGCAATACGATTTTCTATGCATAATATTCAATATGTATAAGCATCGACACCACTAATATTTTTGTCACTACTATTGACAACAACTTTTTTGGTAAAAAAAAGGAAAAGGATATCCCATGTCTGAATCATTCCGAAAAATAAAGCCTTAGCTAATTATGTAAACGCCATAGGTGGTTTTTATAGAACGAATCAAATTGACCACGAACCTTCATTTGATCGATAGTGTAAAACGACAAAGAAAAGATCTAGAAGAGTAAAAGTTAATAGAACAAAGGAACATTGTACCTCGTTAAAACTACAATGTTGCAGAAGTTGGCTATGGTTCCGAATATACACATAATAATCGACAAGTATGTATGAATTGGCTTGTAAAAGAGATGTACTTCTCTGAAATCAAAAATTATTTTGAAATAGAAGTTTCCTCCAAAAAGCAGCTTTTTCCAGTAGCTGGAACTAATATCACTGGTTATGCGGCAAAACAAACGTACTTGAAAAAATCATAAACAACACTTTCATTTGGCAAGTGCACAAGAACTGTCTGACATTGAATAGCGTCCATTACGGATAACAAAAATTGTGCGGTGGATTCTTGACGGCGTCTTCAAATCGACATCTGCAATGAAAAAGTCACGTCTGAGTGGACTTACGATTACTTGGTCGAAGAGCATAATACGAAAGAAACAAAGAGACAAGTAGGCGAAAGGATTAATGAGACATATAGAGCCAATGATGACCTTGGACGGAGGTCGGAAACGCTCATTCCAATTAGAAAATGAAGTGGAGGCGGTGGTCCACGTCAGGAATGTGTTCTCGTTCTATTCTTCGATGTAATCATGTTTGAGAAATTTCAAAATACTGAGGACAAACTTTTCTTAGGAGCTTTTTTCAGATTAAAAAATAAAATATAGAGGAAAAGCGATTGGCATTGATCAATCACAGAGAGATTCACCATGTCTTTATATTTGTCAGGCATAGTTAGAGGTGACCAAATTATATCTGGCTTATGAGGAATGTTTTTGACTTGAAAAATAATCAATAGAGTAGAGCAGTCAGCAGTAGAGGTGACTAAACCATAAAAAATACGGGTGTAAACAAGTAAAGAGAACTTCTTCTCGGCTTATTTGGTTCGCAAATCCTCAACTCGGATGGACGGAATGAAAATGGGATACTGATGATGAACACTGTGGCTCGGCTGGGGACTTGAATTCTTCTGGATATGTGACGCTCTACGAAAACGACAGCCAAGCAGACATCACAACAACGATAATAAATAGTTGTGTGGAAGTGACACTGAAAAAGCGGACCGAGGAGAAATCGCCACAATAAAACTAAACGAAGTAGAAATAATTCACCGTTTTCATGATGATTGGACACGAGATTGCCAACAGCAAGACTTACTCAGTACAATGTACTATTGGTTCATGGTGCGGTTCCGTCTTCTTCAGAACCTAAAAGGTCGAAATGGAACTCAATCTATCTAGCTTTTTCTGTTTCTGCCAATGTAAAGGGATCGAAGCTATTATTAATCAACCGCGACGGGCTTGATGATCTTATAAGCACATATCGGTGTTCCACCTGGTTAGGCTACCGCTACGAAATTTGCAAGAATTCCTTAAGTGTGCATTTTTTAGCAGTGTTATAATGCTATTTAATGAGGAGCCGCGGCCAAGTGGTTGCGATGCTCGTCGCGGCCCACAGCAAGGTTATCCTCGAGATTGCAAGGAGAGTCGCTCAGCCAGTATTCTACGCCGTTCAAGAAGACGAAAAACGACTTGAATGCTCGAAGTACTGGAATCCGCACAGTGAAAAAAACATTGTGATGATGGATCAAATAAAGTACTAAAGTGCTTAAAGTTATGATGTTATAACATACATCCAAAAACGAGTGACAAGCAGAACTCCGAACTTCGGGCGAGAGTTTAACCCGCGTTTAACCCTTACCTGGACATGGTTGCTGACAGCTTTGACATCTTAATATGGCAGAAAGAGCAGAGCAAACGTCCCCGATAATGGTCGTTAGCACGCTCCCGAGGTATGGGTAAAAGCGAATTCAGCTCCCGCCCGAAGTACGGAGTTCTGTATATCACACAGGATTCTAAGATATATAGTACGATATCACAACACTGCTATGAAAGCGAGTATATAAATTCTTTCGAATCACCCTTTCACTTTCATAGCTTTAATCACAAATACCTGATTTACAAATTGTCGTTTTTGGTGTATCAAGTAATTGTAATTTCGTGCATCCGAGACTATGGATAAGGCAATCCCGTTCAGATGTCAAGCAATATGGCAGTAAGTAAATCTTGCTATTAACAGCCTCGTATCTATCCACGAAAAATGGTGCATTTGACTAGCGTTAAAGTTTGAAAAAAGTGGGTTTCGATGAAAAATAAATATATATCCAGTGAAGTCGACAAAAAAGTAGACATTCAATCTCTGTGTTCGATGAATCGCCAGAAATACGCCGGCAAGAAACTCTCCAACAATATCAATATCACAGCTGCACCTTATTTGTGTTTCTGACCGAGAAAGGTGTATTTCCTCTTGTCCATGTAAGGAATTAAGTAATCATACAAGTATATAGACGTGTAGGCAATGTGTTCAAAGATGTCGAGAGCATAAGCAATGTGCCAGAACACAAAAAAACGGTAGGTTACCGGGCTGTAAAAATAAGGTGTCGTTCGTTAAGAATCGGGATTCAGTAACTAGACTACTTTACTCGAAATTTCTAATAATTAGTGCATCTCTCGCAGGTTATCATGTTTCATATATACCTAAGAGAACTGAATGAGTTCATAAAGCGAAATCGCATACCCGACTAAACCTGTTAAAGGTTGGTGGTTGATAGCTAATGTAGAGATCTTGAAGAATGACTGGTGGCGCAAATGTGCCTCTGTGGTGTAGTGGTAGAGCACGCGTCCCCGGACAGGATGAAACGCGGGTTCTATTACCGCATAAGGGCGTGTTTTTCTCATCACTCAATTCTCTTCTATTACTTTACATTAGTATTCGGTATAAAAAGTCAATTCCATACTCGCTTTTTCCCATTGATTGGGTAGCAGATTTTTTCCTTCAAATAAAATACGGACAGGTTTAATAGGAGTTTGAAAGACAGACCAAATCCACTTTCATAGATCGGTAAATTCCAAATTAAAATATGAACAAAAAACGCTTTTTTCTAAGACGATAACTGTTGACTGTTCCGCGAGTGTTGTGGAATAAACGAAAGGTAGACGGAAAGAGACAATTTTCGACGAAAAGTCTAAATCTTTCTATGTTTCAATGATTCTTCGTCTATGATAGATGATAGAGAGCGTTACCTCGACTAATCAAGAAATAGAAGATGTGAAGCTTGCTTGCCAAATGTTATTTCCCAAGATATCCAAAATCACTTTTACTCAGAGCTAGCACGAAGTACTGTACTGTCTAACTCGTAAACTAAACAAGGAATAAGAAAGTGCATAGGATTTTTTCTCATCAAGTTTTCTGAGTGTTGCCCTGTAATTCAGCAGAAAAAGCAGAGAAGTGCTTGCAAAACCTCATTTACCCAACTTTTTGATTGAATTATAGCATTAATGAGGAATAGAATTAATGTTTTATCGGAATAAGACTTTATTACCAATGAATACGTAAGGTGGTTTACTCAGGAAGTAGAAGGATGCGGCATTGCGACGAATCGGAGGAGGTCAATGATGGTGAGGAAATGGAGTGAAGTGGAAGAAAAGAACCGGACCATAGTCCGAAGTGTAGAACGATGACGTGGTTATTATCACTTATACGTCCACGTCTCATTTCAGTTTGCTGCTGAGTGGACAATAACAGTTTTTTTTTCCCTTTGCTCATTGTAACACCTATGGACGTGACGTCATCTGGGTTTGTGGTTTCCGTTGTATTAGTTGACTTTTCCGCGCATCTTGGAAAAGTTTCTGCTCTTTCCTTGTTCAGCGTGCACTCCATGATCTTTTATAGGACCTTCCATGTTTTCGTGCTCATGCAACAAGTGTGTGTGTGTGTGTGTGTGTTTGTGTGTGTGTTTGTGTGTGCATGTGTTTGTGTTTACATGTTGTGTATGTGTGCGTGTGTGTGTGTGTGTGTGTGTGTGTGTGTGTGTGTGTGTGTGTGTGTGTGTGTGTGTGTGTGTGTGTGTGTGTGTGTGTGTGTGTGTGTGTGTGTGTGTGTGTGTGTGTGTGTGTGTGTGTGTGTGTGTGTGTGTGTGTGTGTGTGTGTGTGTGTGTGTGTGTGTGTGTGTGTGAAGAGAAGATTACCGTACACTTTGTAGTCTTATTCAATCAGCATTTAGTGAACTAGTTATAACCTACGCGGACACAATCATGACGTTTACCTTGAGCTCTTGATATTCTTTCGTTCTGAACAATACTCAAGAGTGATTATGAAGCATGAGGGCAAAAATCACGGCTTTGATCAATTCTGATTCTTAGCTTTATTCGAATTCACCGAGCCCGGTGGGCTGGACAGCTTGGTGAACCTTGAGCGCGGGATCGAGCCATCGACCACATGTGCTTCTCAAAACACCTCTAACCTCTGCGTCACACACGCTCTCAAATTCATCATAGTGAGTGAAAGATAGTAAGACCATGATCTAGGAGGACAAAGACAATGCAGCACATGGTATGTGATGCCATTTTGTAGTAGCATTTCTGCGCTTTTATGCTTCTCACACTCTCTGTGCCAAATACTATCTTTAACAGCAGTAACCTCTCGCCGGAGATGAGAAATTGAACGAGAAATATTAATAAGACAACCTCCTATAGGCGACACTCGTCACGGCATCTGCTTTGAATAAGCTATCGATTGTTTACAAGAGTCCAAAAAAACTATACTGCAGAATGAATTACTAGAATGATATGATACTTATAGCTGTTACACCGATCACTGCTGCTGCTTCATTGCTACACTAGCGGATTTATCGAGCAAAACTACTCTTTTATGAAGCTAATCGATATGAAATCCACTTTACATAGAAAAACTATGGTTGAATTTAAGAAAAACTTCTTAAGAGAATGGGCCATGGACAGTTTTGACGTGAGCTGAAATACTGTATAAAGTTATACGAGTGAACTCTGCTTTTATTTCTTGTTACGAAGCACCCCAATCTAAGTAGCGAGTACGACCTCTAAAATTCGCCATTACGCCGAGACATTCGCCGAAATTTCAATTAAGAGATGAAAAATTGACAAAAAAGAACCTTAGGATATTTTCTGTTCTGGACCACCCATCAACTTGCCACAATTATTTTAATGGCATTGGTGACGAACTGAAAGAGTCCGCGCCCAATAGTGCCACTTATTTGCTCATCTCACTATTCAACATTTGATGCCACTCTTTTACGAGATCACTCATATGCTTAGGACAAAAGTATTTGCTACAGACACCAAATAGTCAAGCTAAGCCACTTATTATCGTCGAATGCTCAAGTAAAATCAAATTTCAAAAAACTCGTTAACAAGAGCTGCTTGAGGATAATGCGAATATTTCTGTTAGAGTTCGGTCAAACTTAGAATAAATCAGCACAAAGAAAGCTCAAAAGTTAGTACTTATCTGGTCATTTTGATAATATCTCTTGAAAAGCCCGTGGGGAGTACTAGCATATCCTCCAGATAACTGATATATTTTTGGTATATAAAGACTTCTTTTTTGAAATCTCATGACTACTTCTACCATGGCTAACAGAGCTCGTCACCACAAGCTGTCGACATCGCCGCCCGTGGTTTGGACGGATTTTTTTTTTGCCTTTCAAAAAGGCTAAAGCTCTGAAGAACAGCTCGAAAATAGCAAATTGAATCGAAAACATAGTGATGGACCTATTCGTGGAAAAAGAGGTATTGCTTTTTCGTGTTTCCACTTGAGAGATTCTCTAAATCAACTCATTCCACTCCATCACACACATGTTTTCTTTTCAAATTTCACACGTATATCTTCGTAGGTGCTAAAATTTTTTAAATGGATTACATAAGTGAAGAATCATTCTTGGTTTTGAGAACTCCCCAAAAATCCTTTAGCGCCGTTTCTTACATCCCGTTAATTAGAATCTCCAAGGCATTGAGTGCTCATAGAATGAATAACGGAAAATAAATTTCGAAAAACTTCAAGCAGAATACTTTAGCAGGTAAGAAAAAACGCTGCATCGAGATAGTAAAAAAAAGAGAAAGGAGGAAAGCTTCTCCCGCAATCCAACAAATTAAATAGTGTTGCTGCAAAGCATCCTTTCACCATGAATTTTTCAAAAACGTCTAAGTTCTTGATCAAGTGAACCGGATGAGGGCCCAACAAATCATCGGATTTCAGGACGCGTTCTTCTACGTGGCAAAACGACGAGGTTTCTTCTGGAATAAGGGAGGTATTATGAGGGATCGACTACGAGCTAGTGTGTACCTGATCTGAGACGATGTAGGATGTATGGAATAAGAAGGTCTTTGTCGATACAACGCCATATCAACTTATACCTTCCATATATGCCTAATCATATTCATGCTATGCTCGCACATCTGCTTGCGTGTGTGCTGATTGTGCTCTGCTCGTTGACTCGGTTAGTAAAGCTAGTAATCAAACGAATAGAAAGCACATGGGAAGCTGTTCGAGGTCACATCGAATTGCTATTCTCACACTTACCAAGATGAGAAAAGGATACGTCAATTGAAAATATACCTAACTTGGACAGTAGAATCCAGAATGTGATCTATTAGCAAATTTACATTCGAAAAAGACGAGAGAATTCACATCAAATTTTCCGATCAATTTCTTCTCTTCGAGATGATGAGGACTATTGATAAGGTAAACATCATACAAATTACCCTTTTCTCCGAACGAAACTTGCACGGGGCTGGTAATCCTCCATTGAAAGTCGATGGCAAACCTGTTAGCGATCTCGCCTTCGTCGGAACTTGGACGTACTACGTCATACCATATCTAGCTATCCTGTTAATATTTCGTATATGTAAAAAAATCTAATGAAGATTCAATCCAAGCTAATGGATCTAACGAGCTAATGGATTTAATTGAATCTAATGGATTTATTCTGCATCAGATTCCAATATTAAGCTCTTAGTTAAGTGAATAACCAGATATGGTATGATGTAGAACGTCCAGGATGTGACGAAGGCGGGATCGTCGAAACGTTAGTCTTTGAATTTTAAAAGAGTACTAACCTCGTGCATTTCATTCGAAAGAAAGGGCACCTTATGCTAAATTTTCCTGATTCATAATGAGGCTTAGAAAAGGTCAGTCTTTTGAATTGTCTGCTAAAAAGGATGAATGGAGACCTTATTAATTCCACTTGCGTCCCTTTTGTAACCATAAAAGGTGAGACGGAAATCGAGGTGTCCTGACTGACAGTAATGGAGTCTGTTGGATTTCATTTGTCATCGGTATCTTGTCTTTTTTTTTTGAAAAAAAAATTTCGATGCCAGCGGAAAATAATGAAAAAATGAGCATTATATTTTTGAAACTCATAAACAGTCACGGTAGCCTTCTTTTTGACCGAACTCCTTCAACAACGACCTAATATGCGCAATTAAATACATTTTATCAATGGTATTGGAACGAACTAAAGGACTAGCTTTGCATGATTTCAATAATGGGAGCTCTTTAAATGACATATTAGTCTTCATCGCATAAGTGATTGCTTGGAGAAATTTTGATGATTAAGGGTCCAAAGCGGTGCTGTGGAATATTGGATCACAAGGCTTTTATTTCCCTTTGTGAGAGCATCCCTCTTATTTTTATTTGCTAAATTGCAAAAGAGACCTCATCTATAATCATGAGAGGCTACTAAGCATTCTTCACAAACATCTCTGAATGTTATGGAGCTTCCATTCACGATATCAGACGGATATTTTAAGAAATGAGTTGACTATATTCTAGAAAGTTGATTGAAAGTGTCTACTTGAAGATGAGCTTCAGAATTTTATTTCAACGAAAGACATGTTATGTCTATGCAATGGCA